CTGAAAAAAGTGACTTATGACCATTTTTCACACTTACGACTGTTGCAGCATCCCCACAGTCATGAGAGGCCAGGCGAGGAGATGCGTGCCTTGATGTGAGTGATATTGAGTTGGCCACGCCACGCCAATAACATGACCACCAAGCCATGCCCACCAACTAAGCCATGCCCACAGAACCGGTTGTTAGAAAATTTGAATCCCAACCCTGTGACAATAGTAATATCAACAGGTCTATTAGTCCATCTCTAATGCTTACCCTTTTCTAAGGTTTTTTTTTTTTTTTTCCAAATATAATCTGTGGCCATGTAAGCCATTTCCAACCATCGTCCTAGAATTGGGGTGTACACTGCAATTGTGATCTCATGAACTACATTTCAGACAATGTGTCATTTGGAGGGATGGAAAAATGGGCTACCTCCAGTTGTGTGTGTGGAAAGAAAAGTTGAGTAGCATCAAAATCTAAAGAGATAGACAGTCTTTGTGGAGGAAGACATTTTTTTTGGTTTAGCCATATGGCTGAACCCCTAAAATTTTGGGAAACATTGCACAAACACTACCCAGTTGGAAATGCATGCACATACTTCATTCAAAATGTCCAGGAAATGCCATAACATGAGGATGTCTTATTACTTCATACATACATTCAGACAAAAATGATAGCTCGGGGCAAGTATTATGGCATATCTATGCTAGTCAGTGTTGGTCAAGCCAGCATGTGTGGTTAACCACACAATGCCAAACAAACTACTCACGATTATAAGTAAGATATGAAACCACTGTAACCACATTATCTCACCCATAAGCTACAGAAATATGCAAATGATAAATATTGATGCTTCCATCATTAAAAAAACAACAAGTTTCAAGGACTTTTAAAAGGGAAGGAAGGGAGAGAGGGAGGGAGAAAGAAAAAAGCCAAGGGAAGATAATGGAAGGGAGGAAGGGAGGGAGGGAGGGAGGGAGAATGGAGGAAGGAAGGAAGGCAAAAAGGAAGGAAGAGAGGAAGGAAGAGAAAGGGAAGGGAAGATTATGGAAGGGAGGGAGAAAGAGAGGGAGGGAGGAAAGAAGGAAGGAGAAAGAGAAGGGAAGATAATGGGAGGGAGGGAGGAAGGCAAGAAGGAAGGAAGAGAGAAAGGAAGAGAACGGGAAGGGAAGATCATGGAAGGGAGGAAAGAATAGAGGGAGGAAGGAAGGAAGGAAGGAAGGAGGAAGGAAAGAAAGAAGGAAAAAGGGAAGGGAAGATAATGGAAGGGAGGGAGAGAGGGAGGACCTCGTACCACCATGTAATCCTATTCTTTAACAACTAATTTATATTTTAGTGATATAATAATGTTAGTAGTATAATATAATATAATATAGTAATAATTGCAGATTCCTCCCCAAAAGCAACCAACAGACAGGAGATGAGATTATGGTTGGGAAACAAAATTTAGGTGATTCTATCTTGGCCAACTTCAGCTGGGCAAAAAAGCTCCAGAGGTCTATCTTCTATTTGTGACAAAGCCACATTTAAGTTTTCTTTTCCTTCCTTAATGCGTCCTTTGGAAAGGGACCAACCAGTAGAGGACTCAAAATCAAGAAGATTTCAAACCAGCCTAGGGGAAAACCATTTTCCATTCCACTTATCTACCATTTGATCCAAGATGATCCACCTCAGTGGTTTTCCATTTTACCTCAACCCTTAGATAATTTCTCGACTCCTTTTGTAAACTTAAAAGCTCTGACCTGGTATACATACTTGTGGCCTGGCAGTGAAACGTATGGGGACATATTGTCTTGCTAAGACGTTAAGCTGCTAAGATGTTGCTCCTGTAAGATGGAAAAATCCATGCAGTCTATTAACGGGAAAACAAAACACGTTTATATCCCTCCCTCTTTCATGTAAAACTTTTAAGCAGGAAAATCTTCCATTCCCAACCACGCCGTTAACTTACGCTCAGTGGATCCTGGCTTATGTTATTGATATTCAACGACAAAATGTGATCTTTGCTGCCAACGTAGATCCGATCTTGATCTTCATCCATCACTAATATCCTGTAGTCTAAGGGCTGATGGGAGAGAGAGTAAAATTGGGATGTCTGGGTTTCCTGTAGTTCTGCAAAAGAAAGAGAAATCCAAAATTAATTCACCTTCCATGGGTGATGAGTTTCGTTAGAGATTATTTTCAACAACTAAAGAATCCAACACAACTTGGAGAAAAGAAGCATGATCCCGATAAAAGTGAAGCAATTGAACGAGGCCATCAGAATTTTCAACAAAAATGAAAATAATCTCTCTGACAAAAATGATGCTTTTTTTTGTCTTTTACTCTTAAGTAAATCACTTTCGTTATGAAGCATCCAAAATAGCTTTATTCAGCCATGCAAATAAGACTGCGGTATTACAGATAACAGATAAACAGAGTTGGAAGGGACCTTGTAGGTCATCTAGTCCAACCCCCACCCCCACCC